CACAATCAGCCGACCTGCCGAGTCTTCCGATTCGCTGAATCTTCTCAGCCTTGAGCTATGAACACGGGCGGCCTCAGGTGGTGACAACAGCTTCATTTATGATGACCCATCACACCTTTTACTATTATTAGCAATATGGTATGCGCTGTTGACATATCGAAAGTGGACATGTGAAAGGGGTGCAGTTCAGGAGATCCGAGTGGCGGTTTCACGCGCAGTCTAACATTCAAAAGTGGTTGACTCGGCCCGGCTCTCTAGCTCTAGATCAGCTAGTTTATTGCAGCTTTTATCCTGTGCCGCTTGCTTGACTGTTTATTTTGTCAAAAAATTCGACAATCGCTTAGCCGCCTGAAGTATTGACGATCGCTGATTGGATAAATGCCGTACTATACTAAAAGCCATTGACTAACGAACGTGATCTGCAAGCGACCCTTATAGCTTGATACAGAAAAAAACCATTTATCGAGTAGCTCTTTGAGGTAATCTGAAATAAACTAGAGCTGGGGCTATGGCCTTATTACTTTCTTGTCGAAGTGCAGCGTCGAGTCAACTGTCTAGGACTACTGCCTAATTCGCTGGCATCCCTGCGGCAGAAATTTTTTGAGCTTCACTCCTCGAAGCCCATCCCGAATAGATCCCCGTTTCCTCAAGCGATAATTTATTTGCGCTGTTTCCAGTTAACATATTTTGCACCCGGGAAATAACCATGTTCCCGTACAAAATGGAGTTCGAGATCGAGAGCAGTTTCTGTGAGTGGCAATGAAAACTGTTTCCTCACCGCATATGGATTCGCCTTCTCTCTTGCATTCACCTCTCCAACCCTTCTCGTTTCTTCGGCCGCTAGAGCTTCACCTCTGCCCTTTTATCATTTCATCTTTCAGCTCAATGGAACTTCGAAAACCGACGATGGTGTTACATCTGCTGATAATCCGGACGTTTCACTTCCCGAGTCGTTGGAGCCAAAAACAAAGCGTGCGCGCTGCCGTGGCCCTGCCGTAGAGATCACGAAAAACAAGGCGTCCATTCGCGCACCTCCTTGTTCTACTGAGTGGCCGACTCCATCCAAACTGGCGGGTGAAACTGATGTGAAGCACGAGGATTCATCACCTAAGCGTTCGCCTACGCGTAATTCAAACGGTGAGTTCGTGATTTCATGCATAATGATTCTCAAGTCTTCGTTCAGCGTAGATGACCTGATTGTAATGACGTCTTGTAGGCTTAGGTACTGTGATGTGATTCCAGGCATCGAGTGCTTTTCAACAGTTTGAAAATCGGGTCGTACGTAATATGGAAGCCTTGGTTCAAGCCTACACCAGTACTAGAGGAACAAGCGAAGGTATAGCACTCGTAGTTCCTTTGCATCCAATACGGTTGTGAGTACATCGTCCGCAATATCCGAAATTTCGTTTCTGGGAAACAGGGGACATTAAAATCGAAACAAGATCAGAATTCCCAGAGAGGGAGGGGGGGGAAGGGGACTGGAGGAACCGACATTTGAACCTACCACGCACAGTATTCATCTGCCTAAACAGCAGTTTGTCCTTGAGAACAGCTTTCTTCGATAATAGTTATCAAATGGGATGTGATATCCCTAACCTCTAATGTATCGGGTTTTATTTTCAACTAAGTATTACTGTGAATACTTGCCTGCCTACTGAAGAATTTGCTGTATAGCCTCCGTGGAACAACTGAAATGA